ATAGAAATCCCTCCCCCCCCCCCTCAAAAGATGTGCCTAGCGCACGAAGTTTCTCAAAAGTGGGGCCTATTTAAAAATCAATATCCTGAGAAAAACCTGGGTTCCACATTTTAGCTTTTCATATGGGTCAGTTTTCTTTATGCGAAAAATTTATGGAAATACGCCCACCACCTCGAAAAAATTGCTCTGGGGGTATTAACCTCAAAAGTGAAAATTGTGTATAAATAAATTGTGTACAAATTATGCTTGGTACTCGGCGAAAGTTTGCGCGCGACAGAAACAATGGCCCGGAGAAGAAAGATCGCGGGACCGAAACCACCGAGAGGGAGTGGGGGTGGACCCCTGCCTATGACAAAATGGGAAAAGTTGAGTAAAGGGCAGATTTATGGGCAAAGTCCCTCACTTCGTTGCACATGCATCCGTATGCGCTGGGTGGATTCCTGGCACCAGGAGTAAAACGAGCCCATGTTGTTTGCTAGTTCACATTCCCAGGGAATTCTTGTAACGAGACCTGTGGGATTTTCTCGCGACTGAATGAACAAGAGGGGGACCTTTTGTACGACCCAAGGAAAAACACACCGCACATGCCATAATTACTGATTTTTGCCTCGAGTCAATGTCAGTTGTATAATTTCTTGACTCGTGCATTGCATCTAATTAAAGTAGAACATCTGAGGGGTTTTTGGCAATATAAAGCAGATATCTAATTAACTCTGCACGACCCAATGGATCGTGTTTATCCCCAGTCAAGGCGAGAGAGAACGACAAGGAAGCCAGGCTCTAACGGTCTGAGAAGTCCCCAAAGGTCGGCGAGGGGTGGACGAGCAAGACTCGATGCAGAATGTCGTAGGAATTAGGGGAACGATTACATCCTCTCAAGGATTCTAGCGCGTGCTGTTGGGAAACGGATAGGAGGATCCTTATCCCTTCATTGCGTTGGAGGGTGCTTAAACTCGAAAAAGGATCCCGACAGGTGTCTCCAACAAAAAGAGCAGCAACAAAAAAAAACCAGGATCCAATGAGTGTTCTGTCCGCATTCTGGGGAATTCGCCACAGCCACTCAACCGTGCTGAAACATTGCGATTGCCTTCTTGGAGTCTTGAAGAAAGGTACAAAGAAAAGAAAAAACCAATCGGCAAAACCGAATTACGTTTATTCTTCGATGAAAGTCTCTTGTCGATCAACTTTCTTCCTATCCCACTCTTGGATCAGCCAGAGGTAGAACGGAAAGAAAGGCTACTTGAGCTAGGAATGTGATAGTCTGTCTCTGACGAAATTCTCTCTATGCTTCCAAAACCTCTATTTCACAAGTGCTTACACATCGACGACACCAAAGCCACATAGCAGGTCCAGGTGACAGACAACGACAGAGGCCTAGTCTGAAGCCTCAAATTCACGTCACCGAACCCTAAAATAATGCATATGATAATTCGCAAAAAATGGAGGGAAATGCATGGGAAAATCATACATTCGTCATTAAGTCTGGAATGCAAGTTTGAAAAAGAGTTACTTTCAGAGAGCATTGGGTTCACCACTACAGCAATCCAGGGATGAAAACAGATGGAAGGGTTTCTTGAACAATTCAGATGAACCTTTTTTGGCTGCAGGCAATCAATCCCAGCTCTACTTATTGGAAGACATGCTACAAAATGCAAAAAAATATGTGAAATACGGCAACCTGAACCAAATCTGCAATTGCAATGATCGTTATCAGTCCGCTTACACCAATTAGCTAGATAAAAATCTTGAATTCACATGAATTGTCCTATCAGGTAAGACATATAACTGCAGTATCATTTTCCAGCATCAAATGTGACCATACAGAAAAAAACAGGTCCATAAGGTACAGAAACCAATTTGTATTTAAATGGATTGATATGAACTGCAATACTGACTTAAAACAGCAGCTGCCTATTTTGACTTATTCTGCAGGACAGTAGATTATGTGAAATCATCTGAAGCAATGAAAATAGAATTACAGAGGAAGTACACTACAAGAAAGGAAATGTTATTTCAGCTTCCGTTATTTTATCCCAAGTTGATTTTGCATTATTTTTGCGAATGCAAACACAAGCATTATTGATCACTTTTGGCATTTAGAGCGATTGCATCGTCAGATGAATCCCAGCATCAACTAACTGAAGCTAGGTCATCTGCCATGTAATCTTTGGGGGGGGGGGGGGGCATTCCCTGGCGAAACATGAAAACTCCAGTCTAAGCTTTGAAACCTACAGCCTCAGAAGGTGATTTGCATCCCAAAGGAACTTTTTTTTCTCACGTGGACACAAATTTGACGTGGCAGAGCGATGCATGACCAGAGATGTCATCTAGAGGTTCCAAAAATCATGGGAAAAGACATACCAGCTTTACAGCATCATGAAATGAATAAATAACCTTAAATGTGCATTGAAACATCCTGACAGGATTGTGAAATACCTCTAGCAGGAGTCCAGGAGCCAGAAAAAAATATCTTGATTTGATGAGATAGGAAATGAATAATGCATGCCAGCAGAAAAATAAAAATTTGGAATACAAGTATGGCATTGGATCCAGGGAGTTGCTGCAATGGCAGTAGGTTCCTACCATTCAATAAGACAGATCCAAGCGGATAATATCATCTTCACACATCACAAAGGATCACTGAATGCCACATCACAGTCTCTCACTAGAGGACTCATGTACACTTGACTAGAGAGACCTCTTTCTGTTTATTTTCAGAGAAACGGACCCCAGATCTTTCTAGACTTCATGTGAAGGAGAAAGATAGAATGTGAGCATGGGAGAAAGGGACTCTTAGAAGATGTCAGGGCACTTGGAAAAGTCCCGTTCCCAATACTGCTCTGTAAATACCCAGTCCTCTTCTTTTGTGTGGGGATTCCGTCCCAACTTGAACCACCTGCAGGTGAAAAACACCAAATGTATTTGCATGCCTCAAAATATCTATAGAAAGAGAAGAGAAGCAAACACTCACAGAGCTTCTGGATCGGCTTCCTTTCCAAACCTAGCTCTTTTCTTCCGGGATTCCCTCTGCTTCTCCTCAAGACTATGCTTAAGAGCTGATGCTCTTGAGAGATCTCCCTCCTCCAGCTTGCGAATATCAGGTCGTAATCGACAGTCCGTAGGACACAAGATTTTCTTCATTTCTGGACGTAAGTCATTCAGCGAGAAAGTAAAGAGACTGAAGTTGTAATAGCTGGCAGAATGGTCTGGTCGAGGATTGGAGACCCAAAGTGTATCAGAATTGGGAAGATTCAGCTCCAGGGGACCAAGGACTCTTGGCACATCTTCCAACTCGTTTTCTGTTCCTGGAGAGGTGTCATCATGGCGTTTCTGTGCAAGTGAATGGAAACACCTCAAGTATGAAAATAGTCCTTTCAGCTTGAATTCCTCTCTCAGCAACATGCCATCTTTCTTATAACTAGTCAACTTCATGCAGAAGAGGCATATTCATGACCATCATGCAACAAATTTCAGCCCAAGTCATTGGCAAAAATAATTAAAACAAAAAGGTGGTCACAACCTTATATATAGTTAATACTATTTCAAGTGAAGGGACTTTTGGCATACTTGTTCACCTCTTGATGTGAACTATGTAGTAACAGTGCAATGAAGGAGAATTAGGGATATAACAGGAGTTGCAAGGACTAATGACTGGATGGTGACATGAACTGAAGGGAAAAATTGCACACTGTTATAAGTAGCCCTTAGCTACAAAACAGTCAGCAACTCCACTTTATCTGAAGCAGCAGACTAATCACATAATCTACACCAGCTATTGTATTGCACATAATGTTCTGCTTTTACCTTGATCTGATTTCCAAGAATATCACTTTTTCTCACTTAACCCATTGTTGCATGACAACCTTATTTTAAAGATTCTTAAGCCCTCATTATATTAAATTTTCAATAGAACATGAACTCCATGTTTGTGGACATCACAACTTTCAGAATAAAATCACAAGTGGTTCAATATGATTGTCCAGATATGAACTTCCATTGAAAGCCTTCTTCACAAATGTAGATTTGAAACAACATAGGGACAAAAGAAATAATCCATCCATTATGGTAAACAGGGGCACACACAAAGTCCTTGCACTGGACAAAGTTAAGAAAATTTTAAAAATTAATTTCACTTTTCCCCCTGGAAGTGAAAAGTGTTCTTAGACCGGTGTATGCTAAGTTGTGCAGGAGTCATCTATTTGCTGACATTAATTTTCATCTGGAATAACCTAGCTACTTAGAGCCCTGAGTGATGTCAGTGGCAGAAACCTCAAAATTGGGAAAAACAGGTCATAATTCGGAATTGCTGAAGCACAAGAACTTACTGAGAGGCCCTTTCAAGATTCAGAATTCTTGCCAAGAGGAGACAAAATGTCACCCTTCAAAAGCAATAATTACTTGAATCTCTTGGTGGCAAAGCAAACCCAAATGAAGTCCTCCATTGAAAAAATACCTCTTTGAATTTTCATGAACATGCCCTTCCTTTTGCATTGCAAAGTTTATAATAAGCATGAAATTACATTCATACTTCGAATTCCTCACAGGTCTTGCTGTTAGGAGTTTCAAGGAGGACCTGCCTGTATATATACATGCTGCATTGTAATGCCTCCAAAAGCGTATGTGACTACAAATCTTTGCAGTTAGAAATTTCATGCCAACTACAGTGATTGAATAGTGAACAAGCTCTAGTGACTGAAATGAGCAAATTCATGAATCATCCAGCTGCATTATAATGATATATAATAAATGAGATCCTGAACCCAAATCAAGCTACTCCCAGAGCCCCTCTAAGGCATTTCAGGCATTTCAGTAGTCATGGGGCTCCAAAAATGGACTACACATGCTTCATCAACTCTACAACATCCTGCTTTCTACAGAGGGATTATAGAGAATCTTATGGAACACTCCAAAGTCATGATGTTCATACCAATTCAGCAGCAGGCCCCATAGAAGCGTGGTCAATGCTTAGGTTCTGGCGGACAACCCCCGAGGCACTCTTAGAAGGAGAAGTGGAAAAAGAGATGCTGTTGAACTTGGACAATACCTTGGCTGTTCGTATGGGGATCACACGAGGAGAGTTCCCTCCTTCTCCAGTTGAGCACAGGTAATCACCTCACTTGCAGTGGAATGATCCACTTGTAAGCACCTTTAATTCACCTATAAATGGGAATTGCACAGCTTAGGTAGGGGTGCTGAAAAAAAGCTGGGAAGCATTTCAACACCTTGTAACTGTCAAATATCGATTGCATATCCAATGTGATTTTTTTTGCTGCATTTATGAAACTGTGTTTCTCCCATAGAAAACGGTAGTGTTTTTTTCCAACCACCCTATACTTTTCTGGCAGTGTTGCTTGTTTTGCTGGGTACAATCTATAGGATTCACCTTTATTTTGTTGATTTGTTATTTTGTTGCTGTTGCTGTTGCTCTTGCTCTTATTTGCCCCTTCTGTTTTTTTT